AATACAGTCAAACAATATTCTAGAGGTTCCTGTGAAGGTATTTTTAAATTTTTACCAAGATTTAAATCAGTAAACCTTGAGTAAAGCAGATGACTCCCCTTATGCTTCCAGTTAGCTGAAGGCCTTAAGAGAAAAGGACTGACCAGAAGAAGAGGGACTTCTGCCAGCAGGTGGCCTCTAACTCAAACTGCAGTTCTCCCCACACTGCCAGTCCACCCTGAAGATTTCAGACTTGCACCTCCACAATCGCATGGCCTGTTCCTTAAATTTTTCCTCTCTCTGTGTCTACACACACCCTATTGGTTCTGTTTCTCCGGAAAACCCCAAGAATACACTGGGTGTGTAGAGGGAAAAGGTCTGCCTGGCTCTTTACAGTGTATAAATCATAATAACTAGCAGCACCCCCCACGGAAGGCCTCCCAAATGCCAAGCCTGTTTCACTCCTTGTGAGAATCTGACATGAAGATTACATTGTAGGACCCAAACCCAAACCCAGTCCTGTCTGATTCAAAGCCCCAGCTCTTACTGTTCTGTCCTGTGCAGCTCCAAGAGTCTCCCTAGGGATAGGTGAGGACTAGAGCTCTGCCCAGCACTTCCCACCTTAAGTATGCCCAGACCCGGGGCAGGTAAAGGCTTTCTAAGTGGCTGGGCAGGTGAGGACTCCTTGAAGAAGGGTAGCCAAAATTCGTATGGAAAGGAAGGCAAGAGAAACCCTGGGACTCTGGTCAGCCCAGCTGAGTGGGAAAGAAGAAATGAGGCTTTGGAGAGTGGCATGTCATAGAGAGACCTCCAGGGAGATGACCCCGCTCTGGCCAGCCCCTCCCTCGGCACCATGCCCCACCCTGATCCTGTAAGTCTGAGGCTGCAACTTTATCCCTGAAATAGTATGTGCTAGGGTCCCCTCATCAGAGTGGACCTCACGGGACAGGGAGATGTCCCTGCTCCCCACAGCCTTATGCTGGGTGATGTCCCAGACTGCGGGCATGGGACATTCAGGCCTCCGCAACCTCTGCTTCCCTCCCCAACTCCAGCGGGCTTTGATGGCTATTGGCATCCGGCTATATTTATTGCAGGAAATGCCCTTCCCAGGTTCTCGCCCCCCAACACCTACCAGGCAGGAGTCCAGTATCATGACACGTCTCTTCTCTCTCAGTCAGCGCTGCATCAGTCAGGGTGCTGCAGAGAAACAGCTCCAATAGGTAAAGAAACACCAAAATTTATTTTAAGGAATCACAGGCAGCGCCTGTGGCTCAAGGAGTAGGGCGCCGGCCCCATATGTTGGAGGTGATGGGTTCCAACCCAGCCCCAGCCAAAAACTGCAAAAAAAAAAAAAGGAATCGGCTCACACGTGACGGTGAGGACGGCAAGCCTGAAATCTTCAGGGAATGCTGCAGGCTGGAGACTCAGGCAGGAGTTGAGGCTGCAATGTGGGGGCAGAATTTCTCCTCCGCAAACCTCAGCTCCTTCTGAACCTACCTTCAACTAATTGAGCGAGTCCCACCCACATTATTGAGGGCAATCTCTTTAATTCGGTGTTATACATCTATTGTATAAAAATGTCTTCACAGCATCCCCATAAATAAGCACTTAATAAGAAAACTGGGTACGGTAGTTGGCCAACCTGATGAACACCCCTGGGGAATTTTTATGTTGTTGTTATAACAGCTCCCTGGGGAGGCTGGCAGCCAGTGTTTCCTCCATTTAGCAGATGAAGAAACAACAACTTGGCTGAAGCTCACAACCAATTAACAGAAAAGAACCACACATTCCCTCACCTCCAACTATTCCTCTTTTCCACCCAGTACGTTAATGAATGGCGAGCATGTCTGTTGTTTTAAAGAGAAAGACACAAAAAGCGCCAGTCGGCCTACTTCCTTAGAATTAGGACACAAAAACATGAAGCCAGTCATCCAAGTTCACAGAGGGAGCCACAGCTGGGTTGTGGGGCCCATGAAGGTCAAGGTGGAGGCAGAAGAGACAGGAAGGGACTGGAGGAGGGAAACTGGGAGGCTGCAGGCCTAGGCACCACCTTGCCTGCAAGGGGCATGCAGATTTGAGGGGAACACAGATTTGACCTTGGAGTGCATGGAAGCCTTGAGTTCCAGAAGATGGGTGTGTAGTGAGTGCAGACTGTGTGATTGTGTGGGCAGTGCTGTGCCTGGCCTGAGCCTGGCTGTGGTTCGGATAAGTTGGTTTCACATCACACTGATTGCATCAAGCCAATTACTCCATGCCGTGTGGGCAGGGCTGTGCCCGGCCTGAGCCTGGCTCTGGTTCGGATAACCTGGTTTCACATCATACTGATTGCATCAAGCCAATTACTCTATGCCTGTCAATTAGCTCTGGTCCACTAGCTACTGGGGAGAAAAGGGAGACAATTCTCCAATGTAGACTCTGGACAAAACCAGCTTTTGTGCTTTTGTGGGAATGTCAGAATCTGTCCCTTTTGCATATGCTTCTCACAAAACTGTCTTGTCTTTGAAACTCTGAAACCCTGAGTTCTTACAAAAAAGGACATCTCATAGGAGCTGGGAAGACTTGTCTGGGACAGGGACCTAGCACTCCTCTGCCACTGTTCATCCTGCTGTGGCTCCCTGGTGACAGCACATTATAAGTAATACGGCACAGAAAACACACCAGAAAAACTGAGCCTGGCTGGCTGGCAGCCTTTTGGAGAGAGCACAGTGAGCATTCTGAAGTGCAAGGGGTGTCAACCAAAGGACAGAAAGAAAGAGCAGAACGGAACAGACTGAAAAGCTGCCAGGACTGTGAAGGGGCAGGAGGGAGGACAGGGTTGCTCTTGACTGGTGTGAGAATTATCTGGCTCTTCCAGAGCAGTGAAGCCCAGGTCCTGGGTCTGTAATATCTTTATTATAGCATTTTATACAGGCCAGACCCTATTCCTTTAAGGCCATCATGCCACACACAAAGATCACACTTTTTTTTTTTTTTTTTTTTTGGCTGGGGCTGGGTTTGAACCTGCCACCGCCGGCCTATGGGGCCGGCACCCTACTCCTTTGAGCCATAGGTGCCACCCAAGATCTTTTTATTGAATTAGTAGAAATAACAGCAAGTGTCTATGCTGGCAAAAATCATTAAAAGAAAGAGAAAATTTGATGATGCAAGAGAAGAGAAGTGTTACAGCAAAATCCTTGATGGGAATCCGGGAACCGTCTCCAAAACAAGAGGAGGCGCAGCTTTCAGGAGAAATTAGGCAGCTCATTAACCTAACAGGAGAGAAAGCTAAGGATAGGCGCAGAAGTGGAGAGGTGCATTTGTTGGCCCAAGTTCTCTTCCTATTGCTTCTCTACAGATTTCTCTGTGAAATAAGAAACTGAGAATCAGAATCAGGATGGAGGTAGAAAGGGTTTTAGTAACTAGACAGAAGACAGTGTGCAGTGGATGCGGAAAAGATGGTCTGCCTGCCAGGCAGCATTGAGAGCCCACCCACGTGAAGTTCATGGTCGTGAATCTAAAACCAATTAGCTCAGTTGTGTGGTTTTTCCAGAGATGTTCAGGGGCACGGGAGCAGGCACAGAGTGGACAATTGATGCTCACCTATTGTCAAGGTTTTGTGATGAAGAGAGAGTGAACCAAGAGCATTAAAAACGCAAGGTTAACCAGGTGCTGTGGTGGCCGCCTGTAGTCCCAGCTCTTTGAGAGATTGAGGCAAAAGAATGATTTGAGCCCAAGTTTGAGGTTGCAAGCTATGACACCATGGCATTCTTCTCAGGGCAACATAGCAAGACTCTGTCTCAAAAAAAAAAAGAAGAAGAAGAAGAAGAAGAATGCAAGAAGGTGATTGTCCACTGACCATAGAATTGAGGCTTGGTAAAGAGGAAAGAGAGGACAAGAGTGAGGTGGGAGGATGATAGATTCAGATCCTGGAAAGTTAAAGCATTATTGGACTTGGGGGACTAGACATAGTGAGTTCAAAAACTAGGAGGTGGTGGGTCAGAGAATTGCTTGAAATCAAGGATTATAGGAAATGTGGCTACTGGTAATCCCAAAGCCTAGACATAGAGATTTAACCACAGAATGAGGAATTGAGATAGCAAAAGGCCAATTACCATGGAGCTCAAGGAACTGAGAGCTCAGGGTGTGGGAATGATGAGCTCTGTGGATACGAAGTCACCAATTGTTAAGACAGGATTATTGGAGAGAGGGACAGAAACATTCTCAGGGAAGGAGGGTGTGTAAATGCCAACAAGAAAAAGGTGCATAAGTAGAAAATCCAGTGGTGTGAAGTTCAAAGCA